TCCACATACACACACACACACACACACACACACACACACACACACACACACACACCATATAAGGGAGAGTAGTTGAAAGGAGATCAGTGGGAGTAGGAAAAGGTAAGAGAAGATAGTTCAGAATGGGTATGATCACAGTAGATAGAAGTCAATGTTTAAAGTCAAAATAAATAATAACTCCCCTCCAAACCTTTATTCCTCATGATTTTTATCTTGGATTTCAAATAAAGTGAAAGTATTAATATGGTCAGCACTTATAAAGTATGAATAATGAGGGAATGTTTTCCATTGTAACATAAGAATGTCACATAATAATGTGGAGGCAGGTGATTACATGAGCTATTGAAATGAAATAGAAGGCAGGTTGTAGTGGCACACATCTCTAATCCCATCACTGGGGATTGCAAGGCAGGTGGATCTCTGTGAGTGCAAGGCCAGTCTGGTCTATAGAGTGAGTGCCAGGATAGTCTCCAAAGCTACACAGAAAAACCCTGCCTTGGAAGGAAAGAAAGAAAGAAAGAAAGAAAGGAAGGAAGGAAGAAAGGAAGGAAGGAAGGAAGGAAGGAAGGAAGAAAGGAAAAAAGAAAGGACAAAAGAAAGAAAAAGAAAAAAATCTCTGTCAAGTTCCTGTTCTAGCTCAAAGAGTGACAAATGCTGTTAGGAAGGGCAAGACAAGTAGGCTGTTTGGAGAAATCAGATGTTCCCTGGTTGCTTGGGGGAAGGCTATACTGAAAACAGCTCTGGCATAGCCCCAGTGATCTTGCTGCAAGCATGGTAATGAAAGCCTGACCCAGGAAAGGTGTGGAAGGAGGGGCTAGATTCCATAGACATTGTACAGGTAGGCCAGACAGGACTTACTGGCTGATCAGAGGTGGAAGAGACTGGGAAGGTAAGGGGACCGATCTCCAGGTTCTAGCTTGGCCACCAAGAGGGTCTGAGCCTGGAAACCAAACGAGGATCTGTGGGAAGGAAGGAGAATTTTTCCAGCAGGCTAGGGACATGCAGAGTGCCAGGGGCCTGTGGATGCCCAGGTAGAGATGGGGAATCAGGCATTCTAAGGAGAGACCTGACTGGGACAAAAACAATGCATGCTGTGGAACAATGCATGCTTGAGTATCAGGATAAAAAGCAGACTGTTTCCCAAAATGACACTGGAAAGGTAGGCAGGACCTAAGGCCCCAAGGGCTCTAGAAAGTCTCCGTCAGAGCTAGGTGGTCGTGGTGCACACCTTTAATCTCAGCACTCGGGAGGCAGAGGCAGGCAGACTTCTGTGTGTTCAAGGCCAGTCTGGTCTATAGAGCGAGTGCCAGGATAGTCTCCAAAGCTACACAGAGAAACCCTGCCTTGGAAGGAGAGAAAGAAAGAAAGAAAGAAAGAAAGAAAGAAAGGAAAAAAGAAAGGAAAAAAGAAAGAAAAAGAAAAAATCTCTGTCAGGTTCCTGTTCTAGCTCAAAGAGTGACAAATGCTGTTAGGAAGGGCAAAGCAAGTATGTTGTTTGGAGAAATTAGATGTTCCCTGGTTGCTTGGGGGAAGGCTATACTGAAAACAACTCTGGCATAGCCCCAGTGATCTTGCTGCAAGCATGGTAATGAAAGCCTGACCCAGGAAAGGTGTGGAAGGAGGGGCTAGATTCCATAGACATTGTACAGGTAGGCCAGACAGGACTTACTGGCTGATCAGAGGTGGAAGAGACTGGGAAGGTAAGGGGACCGATCTCCAGGTTCTAGCTTGGCCACCAAGAGGGTCTGAGCCTGGAAACCAAACGAGGATCTGTGGGAAGGAAGGAGAATTTTTCCAGCAGGCTAGGGACATGCAGAGTGCCAGGGGCCTGTGGATGCCCAGGTAGAGATGGGGAATCAGCCATTCTAAGGAGAGACCTGACTGGGACAAAAACAATGCATGCTGTGGGATTGAGTATCCAGACCAGGGACATGGTGGTAGACCACTCTGACTCCACCCAACTTCTTCCCAGTAGATCTCATCTCTGATGGGCCAGGCGGTGGTGGCACACGCCTTTAGTCCCAGCACTCGGGAGGCAGAGGCAGG